GAAGGGAAGAAATAACCAGGTAGGTAAGAGTCCCCTATCCCTTTTCCCACCCCTCACTACAACCACCTAAACCCCATATCCCATTGAGTGAATGGAGGGAAGAGAGACTGGAGGCAGGGACACCCATTAGAAGTTTAATACATCAATGTAAGAAAGAGATCCCGAGTGCCTGGGCTAGGGTGGGGGCCACACTGCAGAGGTTGACTTGACAGGACCCAGTGACCAATAAGATGTGGGAGCTAGGGTAGTTAGACATCACTAGGATGATTAATTTGGGTAACTGGGAGGATGGTAATGGCACTGACAAAGATGGGAGCATGATGGGAAGGAGTGAGTTTTGAGGGAAGGATGATGAGTTTTAGTCACTGAAACATCTGGGGGAAATATTTAACAGATACATGAAAATGTGAGTCTGGAACACAAGAGAGTGGTTAGGGCTAGAGAACTAGAGGGATGAAAATCAGCAATGTGTGAGGGTTTTTGAAGGTGGCCATAGGTATCCTGAGAAAAGAGTAGCAGACCGGGGATGGGGTCTCAGAGACTGCTTACATTCGGAGGATGGGAAGAGGAAAAGGGGGGCTGTCAGGGAAAGAGCAGGGCTTCATAATCTCCTCTGTACCACAGGTGCATTTGGCAGTCTGGGGAAGCCTTTGGACATCTACTGCCCAGTAGTTTTAAATACATGAAATAAAATACATAAGGTTTCAAAGGAAACCACTTGTACTGAAACATGGTTATCAAACTATTAAAAGAATTAGACAGTTCAGAGAGGCAGAAGAAGGATTAAGAAAGTGAAGTATCAGGGAAGCCACGGGAACAGCAGAGATTATTAAGACTATCCAAGGACATCGAGACGTTAGGATGAGTGATTCCAGTTGAGTAGAAGGTGGAGAGGAGCTGTCAGCCTGGCCAGGGACTCATGCCCCTTCCCCACCTTTGTCCCTTTAACCTGACCCCCTCCAGACTGAGTGCTTCAATCATGTCCGGTTCCTGCAGCGTCTGAATGCCACGCATCTCTATGCTTGTGGGACTCATGCCTTCCAGCCACTCTGTGCTGCCATCGTAAGGCTGATCTGACCTTTCACCTCCCCTCCCCGTCCTATCCCAGTGCAGCATTTAGCTGCCTCCTCATCGTTTCACTCACTGCCCTCTGATTCCTGACCCCTGAAGATTCATCAGGGATTATTCCGTAATTCCATGTAATAGGGAATTTGACCTCCCTGCTCCACTTACACGAGGCTCCAAGCATCAATTCCCCAGGGATTGTAGCCTTGCCATAGTGCTGCTCCTCACCTTCTGATCACCTTCCCACCCCTATTCTGAGCTGTTTGTCTTTCTCCAGGATTCTGAAGCCTTCACTTTACCTCCTAGCTTTGAGGAGGGGAAGGAGAAGTGTCCCTATGACCCAGCCAGGGGCTACACAGGGCTGATCGTTGGTGGGTGCTGTGTGTGTGTGTGTGTGTGTGTGTGTGTGTGTGTATGTATATGTAGTGCTGCCACAGTGTGATGCAATGCCCACATGTCAGATACCACCGTGTGTATATAACATCTCCCACAGGACTAACGTGCCCCTCCACTTGGGTGGCATGAATGACATGTTCTGCCTGTGTCAGACAGCTCCCTCCATGCGTATGTGACACTATCCCCCTGCACAGCTGACATTTGTAACACATGGGTAACGTGACACCATGTGTGATGTTTCCCTGATCCTAGATGGTGGCCTCTACACTGCCACAAGATATGAGTTCCGGAGCATACCTGACATTCGTCGGAGCCGTCATCCCCGCTCCCTACGAACTGAGGAGTCCCCTCTACACTGGCTCAATGGTGAGGGGAACAAAGTTGGCCATTTAGAAGAGGGGACAGGTTCAGAACCTGGGGGCCTAGGAAGGTGAAGAGGCAGCGACTTGGAGGGACTGGGGCTGGTCTCACTTTTCAAGATGGAGGGGCAAGGCCAGGACCTAGACCTTAGGTAGGGCCAGTAAAACTTGGAGATAGATGGACAAGGAGGTGAAAGGGGGTGGGGGTGGGGAGAGATATGTTTCCATTGTTTATTCTCTCACTTAAAAAATATGACCTGTTTCAGGCCCAGCTGGGTCCTTCTCTTCATCTTCATCCCAGCCCATAGACACAACAGAATATTCTAGATTAATGTACATTACATATATTTGGAGAAACCCCTAGAGATGGGGAAATGAAAACTTAGAATAATAATGGAGGTTAGGGGACCTACAGGAAATATTTGTGGGATCCCCCATCTGAGGAAGATGCTTGGTACAGTTTGGGTGGTCCAAGGAGCCTCTTTTCTGAGGCCTCTACTCCTTTAGATGCAGAGTTCGTATTTTCCGTCCTCATCCGGGAGAGTGAGGCCAGCACTGTGGGAGATGATGACAAAGTCTATTATTTCTTCACGGAACGTGCCACAGAGGAAGGTAGTGGCTTCTCACAGATCCGGGGACACCGGGTAGCCCGGGTAGCCCGAGTTTGTAAGGTAAGCTAGGTCTAGGCATCTGAGACCAGAAGAAGACATAGGGCAGTCTGGGGTAGAAGAATTCCTTGGACCTCCTGACCCCATCATGGTGGCTGAGCCCACCACTCCTCTGGCTCTAGGGTGACCTTGGTGGGAAGAAAATCCTACAGAAGAAGTGGACATCTTTCCTGAAGGCCCGGCTGACTTGTCATATCCCCTTGTATGAGACCCTGCGTAGTGTCTGTAGCCTGGATGGGGGTTCCTGGGCCTACACTCGCTTCTATGCAGCATTTAGCTTGGCTACTCAGTGGTCAGTGCTGGGGAGAACCCTGGTGGGGGGTGGGGAGAGCCCTAAAATAACTGGGGACAAACTGGGAGTTGGGGAGTCATTTTGAAGGAAATCTAGGGATTGGATCAGATTTCTGGGTATTTCCAGCCCTACCAACCTGGTGAGGAGTACTTAAGGGGGTGGATTGGCTGCAAAGGAGGAATTTCAAGCATGCTGACCTCTGCTAATGGCTGAGATAGTGGGGGTGGCTCAACTGACTTCAGTAATGACCAATCAGCCACAAAGTCCAAGGGCAGAGAGGCGGGACCTCCCCTCCCCCCCACCCCCTTTTCTGTCCTAGATCACAGAAAACCGAGGAGAGGGCAGACTGGTTCTTGGATCTGAATTGGTCCCCCTCCTACCACCTCCCAGGAGGACCCTAGAGGCTTCAGCCATCTGTCGTTATGACCTGTCTGATGTCCAGGCATCCTTCTCTGGCCCCTACATGGAATATCAGGATGGTACACGTCGCTGGGGTCGATATGATGGGACTGTGCCGGAGCCTCGACCAGGCTCGGTGAGGGAGGTGGTCCCTGCTTTAATTAAACATCTGCTTTCTTATCAAGCTGACCTGGGGTGGGGATAGGGACAGGTCATTTTGTTGCTTAGGAGCCTAACTTCTCCCAGCTGAGGATGTTTGTCTGGGCACTTAAGAGATGGTAGTCTGGGATGAAAGAGCCCTGGGGTTGAAGTCAGAGGACCTGAGTTCAAATTCTAGCTCTACTATTTACTACCTGTATGAATTTGGGCAAGTCATTCCCTTTTGCCTGCTTCCTCATCTATAAGATGATCTTATGAAGGGGTTCTGACCCATCAGGGCTGGGCCTTAGGATGATCCTTCCCTGGTGTCCAGCTCCCTCACCAGAGCCGTTTCCCACAGTGCATCACAGATGGCCTCCGAAGGCGGGGCTACAACTCCTCTCAGGACCTACCCTCCCCTGTCTTGGACTTCGTCAAGTTGCACCCACTCATGGCTCGTGTGGTGGGGCCAGCCCGGGGGCGGCCCCTCCTGCTGAAGCGGAACATTCGATATACTCGACTTGTGGGGACCCCTGTCACTGTGCCAACTGGCCTGACTTACGATGTGCTCTTCCTGGGGACAGGTGTGACCCTGGGAATGACAGTCTCCTTTTGATCCCACTGACACTCATTTCTCACAAGTCACCCCTACCAACTCCTAATCACCCAACATACCCTAGACGCCACTGTTTATACCTTCTAATCACCTACTCACCCCACCCTTTAATCCTGAGCCTGCTGAATTTTTTGCCCCTGGGAACTTGACTGTGTTCTTTCCCATCTTAGCTGATGGCTGGATCCACAAAGCCGTAGTCTTGGGCCTTGGTATGCACATTATTGAGGAAGCCCAGGTGTTTATGGAGCCCCAGCCTGTGGAGAACCTGGTCATCTCCCTTGCCCAGGTACTCCCCATATCTAATTGACCTCACTCCTATGACGCTGCCACTGGCTATACCAGTACCAGGAGGGGAAGGGCTAGGGTCACAGCATTCATTGTGTGTGGCATGATAGATTGTTTCTAACTACCCCTCTCCTTCTGGTCCCAGCACAGCCTGTATGTGGGGGCCCCCAGTGGAGTGGTCCAGCTGCCACTGTCCCACTGCTCCCGGTATAGCTCCTGTTATGACTGTATCTTGGCCCAGGACCCCTACTGTGGCTGGGATCCTAGTGTCCAGGCTTGCCAGGAAGCTGCCACGGTACCCAACAGGTACTGGGGCCTGGAAAGGGTTGAGGCCGCCATTGTTCATTTGGACCTCTTAGTGCATGGGGGTGGGGGAGAGCACCTGAATTTCATGCCTGGGGTACAGATTTCAACCTTTGGTTTCACTTACTGGGGAAACAGAATCTGTGACCCATGCCCCTTCTCATGCTTTCTCCCCCTGCTCTTTCCCAGGACAGCTCTGATACAGGACATGGAGAGAGGCAACCGTGGCTGTCAGGGCAGCATGAATACAGGTAATAAGCCCGTGTAGCTCCATCATAGCAGCTGGAATGGGAACCTCTCCCTTCTCTCTAAAACTCTCATCCTGGCAGCCTTCTCAAGTAAGACTGTATGGAAGGTGAAGGGTATTCCCCAGTGCTGGGGCTTTCCCAGTCCCCTGCCCCAACAATCAGGCTTCCATCTCCTTCCTGCCTCCAGAACCACATCTGCTACCCAGGAACCGATCTGTGCTGAGGGGGGATGATGTGCTTCTACCCTGTGACCAGCCGTCCAATCTGGCCCGGGCCTCATGGCTACTCAATGGGAGTCGGATGCTGATGGACGGGAGGGATGGCTACCGTGTGGGTGTGGATGGCTTATTGGTGATGGACACTCGGCCAGAACATAGTGGTCACTACAGCTGCTATGCAGAGGAGAATGGGCTCCGCACCCTGCTGGCCTCCTATGGCCTCACGGTGCAGCAAGCCCTCCCAGCCCCAGCCCTAGCCCCAGGCCTGGTTCCCCCAGCCCTTGGTGCCCACCTAACCCCAGATGTTCATCTCCTCTATGTGTTGACCATTGCAGCCCTGGGTGGCCTCTGTCTTGTTCTGGCTTCCGTGCTCCTCTACGTCGCCTGCCTTCGAGGCAGTGGCCACCGCCGCAAGTATTCACTGGCCAGAGGTACTGGCAGGGCAGGGGGCTCTGCTGTCCAGCTGCAGACAGTCTCCGGTCAGTGCCCTGGGGAAGAGGATGAAGGGGACGAGGGGACGGACAGGGCAGGAGGACCTGAAGGTGCTGGTCTCCGTATAATTCCTGGGGAGGGGACCCCAGCACCTCCTCCTCCTCCCCCTCCTCCCCCCCCTACTGAGCTCTCCAATGGACTGGCTGCATTACCCAGCCGTCTGAGGAGGATGAATGGTAACAGTTATGTATTACTGCAGCAGAATGAGGAGCGGGCACCCACTCTACCTTGCTCCTTCACCGAGGAGCTCAGCCGAATTCTGGAGAAACGGAAGCACACACAGCTGGTGGAGAGGCTGGACGAGAGCTCCGTCTAAGCTGCCCTCCCACCTCCCACCCAGTCCCCTTTCCCTGCCCTGGCCTCCTGACCTAGGTCCTTCCTTTCCCTTGCCCCAATCCCCACCAGCCTTCCAGCCCCTAACTCACCCTCTCCAGCCTCCAGAGCTGACTTCCAGCCTGACACCCTCTGTTCAAGCAGGTCCTTTAGCCGTTAGCCTTCTAGGCCTTTAGCCCTACCCCTCAACTCCTACTACAGGGGTCCAGGTCATCATTGTCCTATACCACATAGCAGAATGTCTTCCCATGTCCCACTTGAGACCATCCTCCAAAATGGCTGAATGGGGCCACTGGTCAGGGGTCTAGGCCCCCAGGCCTTTAGCCTTCCCTCAACCACCCTTTGCAGAACCTGTGACCTCAAAAGAGTGAGCTACAGAGAGGTAGGTCTGCTTATAGAGCACCACCCCTAATTCCTAAAAGAAGGGGTGGGAGGTAGCTGGGATTCCACAACTTCCTTCTTCCCCCAAGCTGAGAAGAAACAAGGGGGCAGTTGGCATGTAGATAGGGCCTCTTGCCCAGTGATTATGCTGTTTCAGAGAGCCCCTGTCTCTTTCCAGCACTGCAGCTGCATGTTGGGCTGAGGGCAGAGGGCAGCTGCAGCAGAGCCTCCCATGTTTGCTGTCTGCTTCCCACCTTCTGCCTCGGTGCCAAGTTCTAATGGTGACTGGAGAAGTCTGAGACCCTGCTCCCCACACTGTGTCCAGCAGCCCCTCTCTGTGCTGGATAGAAGGTCTAGCATTGCAACCACCTGAGCAGTGCCATGTGCATGTGTGCGAGAGAGTATGTCTGGTGTGCATGTGTGTCTGCCTGGGTGATACACTCTCCCCTTTTCCCACAGGTACACTTGGATTATATTTCTTATACTTCTGGGGGGGCACACACCCTGCTCAATCCCATCCAGTTCTTCCCTTCCAACCCCAGTCCTCTGTGATGACACTCACTGCCCCACCCCAGCTCAGGGCTTTGTCTCCCAAGTTTGGCACCGAGAGGGAGCAGCACATAGCTCTAGACTTGTCTTCTCCATGCACACCTCACATATCTGCTCACACCTATACATGCTCATAAACAAGGTTACACATGCACACTCTGAGCCCCCCAAGCCCTGCCAAGAATGAGATGGTGGCTGCACTGTCCCTCCCCTCATTGCCTGGGATCCCCAATCTGTTTCTGACATGTCTGGTCCATTAACATTTCATGGGAGTGTCTCCCCCCAAGACCATCTCCCTCCCACTCCCACTGGAACTATGCAAAGGGCAGGTAGTAGGCAGGCTGGGAGATGGGATTCCTTGGTCCTGCCTCTGTCCTACTTCACTGTGGTGCTGTAGGGGTCAGTGAAGGTATGAGACCCCAGGATGAGATGGGACAATCAAAAACCCCTGACAGGGGTTGTTAACCCCTTTGGACCAGGATGATGACTGTTATTATTGATGCTGGGAGAGAACCCAGGACTACCATGTTTTTACTGCCCTTCAAACAGCACCATGAACCCTTCCCTTTCCCCAGCCGAATGTATTTATTATGAGAACCATGGAAGGGCTCTATTTTATTACTAGCCCCCAGGGGGAGGACAAAGTAGGGCAGAGGACAGATAGTAAGTGGCTCAGCTGGGGAGGGGGGTGGGACACGGGCTCATCTCCCCACTTCCTTCCTGTTGGTCAGTAAATAATGTCCTCTAAACCCTGTTGTCCTTGTCCAATTCATACCATGGTACTTCTCAAGTCTTCTGGGAAATAAAACAAATGACTTGCTACAAGGGTCTGCCCCCTATCAAATCTACTTCTAGAGCACAGAGGACTTTCCCCAAGATACAAGAACAGTGATCTCAGTACAACTATCTGGATTCTGGCCTGTGGTGTCACAAAGTCACTACTAGCTTCTGAGCTTGTCTTCCTTCCCATGTGGACAGGATAGGACAGAGATACCTGGGGGGGGGGGGGGGAGACAAGAAGCCCCTCAGGAGAAAGGTTAATAACCTCCTAGCTTCCATTTGTATCCAGTTTATGACATGGTCTGCCCCTCTTAATGCATTCTGGGCCTGCACCTACACAAGTGCTGAGCTTGTTACTGAGTTACCCACACAAGCTTTAAATTCTTAATCTTTACAGGAGGCCCTGAGGTGGGTGCAAACCCCAATAGGTCAGCAAGGCTTCTAAGAATCCAGGACCAAACTTCTGATCACTTCAGGGAGGTAGAAAAGATTATAGGAAGTTCCAGAATTCACCTCAATTTATGTAATTTAGAACTAAATGGAACCTTGGTGTTTTCCTTATGCTTAATAAATACTGACATCTGAAAAACAAGGAAATCTCCAAGGTCTTGGAGCTAAACTCTGAAATACAAAGAAAGGCAGAAATGTTGTTCCTGCCCTTTTAAAGGAGCTCACCTAGTGAGGCAAACAACTAGATACATAAAAGATGTGTAGAGCAGATAGAAGATAACTGAAGAGGGAAGAGAAAAGCTGGGCACACAGCTGGAAAGACCTTTCAGAAGGAGTGAGGGAGAGTATTCCATGCATGAGGACAACCAGTGTAGAGGCATGGAGCATTGTGTTAATGGCCAGTGAACCTGGATGGTGGAGTATGTGGTAGTAGAGCAAAGTGCAAGACTGGAAAGGAATCAGAATGGGGAGAGCTTTAAATAATCAAAGGAAGGTTTTCTATTTGATCCTAGAGCTCACAGGGAATCCCCAGGGTCTGTTGAGTGGGGATGAAGGTGAAACAGGGTTGGACCTGTACTTTAGGAAAATCATTTTGGCAGCTTGGTGGAGGATGGATTGGAAAGGGGATAGAAGAGGCGGGGAGACCAATCAAAATGCTACTTCCAATAATCCAGGCATGAGATGGTAAGGGCCTGTGCAGGAAGGTGCCTCTTGTGAGTGGAGAGATAAGGATGTGTAGGATAGACGTGATGAATGTAGAAATGATATGTCTTGAAAACAGAATGGGTATGTGGAACAAGTGTAAAGGAGGTGGCTCAATAGTAATAGGGAAGGTGGGAAGAGTTTAGGGGTAAAGCTAGAGAGAGCTCTTGGATATACTGAATATGAGATGCTTCTGAGACGTCTTATTGGTGATGTCCAAAAAGAAATCTGAGACGTGAGAAAAGAGATCAAGAGAGATTAGGGCTAGATACATATATCTGGAAATCATCTACATGAATGAACTCATGAGACTCCCAAGTGTGATAGTATAGAGGCAAAAGGGAAGAGGAAATGAGTTCTAAGTGATCAACTGATTAGCTTTTAGGTTCACATAGGTGATGCTTCTGGAAATCAAACCTCCAGTTACAAAGCCAGTGCACTTTCTCTATGTCCCAAAATCATGGGGGGATGACTTCCTTTGGGACACGACTGACAAGACAAAGGGAGGAAGTGGTAGGTGTGGCAGCTAGCAGTGAAGGGAAGAAGCATGATCGCTGTGTAAAAATAAATAGGTTTTATTGGGGTTTCTGGTCAGAACCATTAGCTATGACTTCCTTGCCCAGTTGGGGGGGGCCTGTTGGTAAACGGGTGCCACTGCCCCTGGATACTCGGGTTGTATGTGTGGTAGGGTTTCCGGATGCGAATCACGTCCAGGCCTGACTGGTCAGCTAACTTCTGGATCAGCGTGGCAATCTCCTCCGCCGTCTTATTACCGATAGCTACCTCCTGGGCAGAGCCGTTCACTACCGACACGGGAAAGGGGGCACGAGAGAGGCACTCGGGTCATGTTCCCGGGCGCGGGCCCGGATCCCTACCCACTAGCCACCTCCCAGCGGCCAGGTCTGACCCCACGACCCCGAGCTCCCGCCCCCAGCCCAGCCCGAGGCCCCCTCGGCTCAGGACTCACGGTACTCCGCCACCAGCTGAGGCACATGGCATTTCTTCGCGGTCACGTAGAGCACGACCCCCGGGTTCCTCCGCGCAAAGTCCGTCACATGCTGCTCCACAAACTCCCTGCGGGCGTAGGGGCAAACACGCACGCGCGCGTCAGGGCGCTTCCAACCCCTCCTGCCCCTAGGAGCCTCCCCGTCCGAGGCCCTTTCCCCAGTCGACGCGAGGGGAGAGGGAACGTTGTCTCTAGGGTCAGGGGTCAACTGTAGGCGCGCGGCCCCCACCTGGCGCCACGGGACGAAGGAGCGTCACGGCTGACCCTGAGGCTAAGGCGTTGCAGCTGCTGTACGTAGCGTCCCAGTCCGTTGTGTAGGACGCTGCCCAGGAAGCGGCTCGGGGTCCCGCGGGCCGTCATGGCCACTACGGCGGGCCCGGACGCCGAACTCCCGGAACCTTGGAAGCGACAGCCGGAAGTCAGGGAGCGGGGGGGCGTGCTGGAAGGAGGGGGCGGGGCGTAGCCACCAGATTTCCGGCGTGGGGTAGTCGCGCTAGACCTCGCAGAGTTTTGCTTCCGAGGTTGGCAACTGTAGCACGCGACTAGTTCCCACGTTGTTCGTGTGGGCGTCTTGGAACGGAGGAGCCTCTGGCGGGTGTTTGGGCGCTGTCTCGAGAAGGCTCCCGGAGCCTTGGAGAGTGGGGAGGCGTAGCTCGTAGAGCATCTTACCCATGGAGGGAAGGCCCGGGAGGGGAGAATGCGGTGGGACGGGCAACCCAGTGAGGACGGGGGCTGTAGGGAGGCCATGAGAGGTAGGGTCCTGACTCGGGGGAAGGGTCAGTCTTGGAGACTGGCGAGCCTGTGAGAGAATGGAGCCCCACTGGGAAAGGGGTGTAGAAGGGGAGGGGTTCTGTGTCGAGCATGGTGCCTGGCACACAGCAGGTGCTTAATAGATGCTTCTTGATTGTGTGATTGGTGGTAGGCCGGCTCGGCTGAGGAACTCCGGGTAGTATCGCCCCTTCTTTTTCCTTCCTGGGAGCCAGGCTGAGATGTGGATCTCTCCCCAAAGTGGGTACCCCCTGCGGGCCCTGCTGACCCTTCGATGGCCCATAATGTGGATGGGTTGCAGGGGCCTCCCCCGAGGAGGACCTCCCCGTAGGCCCTATCGTAAGGAGGTTCTGCCAACCCCAGAAACCCCCGTGGTGCTTGTCACTGCAGCTGAGATAAGGCAGTACCTTCGAGCCCGGGGTATCCCCTTCCAGGATGGGTACAGTTGCCTGCGCACACCCAGCCCATTCCTGGGGCCATGGGGTGCAGAGGCAGAGAACTGGACTGAGGGTAGCCCCCACAGTCTTTTCATTGATAAGACCACAGGCCACTTCCTTTGCACTGGCACCTTGGCTGAGGGCAACTGGGAGGACTTCCAGGCATCTGTGGAAGGTGGTGCGGCTGGTTCCTGGGTTAGTGAGGGTAAAGGGAGTGAGACTGTAGACAGCCACAGTAATGATGTACTGAGGATCTGGGATCGGGCAGTGCCACTCACTGAACTTCCAGACCAGGAAGAGATTCATGTGGCCCGAACAATGTTCAATCTGGCAAAGGTGTCTGATGCCACATTGAAGCTCTTCAATGTGCGCTATCTTCGAGCTGCCAGAAGCTTGGTGTTTCCGTGGTTTTCCCCAGGGGGCTTGAGTCTTAGGGGACTGAAGCTGCTGAAGGCAGAAGGTCAAGGGGAGGGTGTCTGCTATGTGGAGACCACTTTGCCTCGACCCAGTGCCTACCATAACCTATTTGGGCTGCCATTGATCAACCTACGAGATGTGGAGGTGGTATTGACCAGTCGGGAGCTGGATAGCTTGGCTTTGCATCAGGCCACAGGGCTGCCCACACTGGCATTACCCCGAGGGTTAACTTGCTTGCCCCCTACACTACTCCCCTACCTGGAACAGTTTCGACGAATTGTACTCTGGCTCGGTGATGACTTGAGGGCATGGGAGGCTGCCAAATTGTTTGCCCGAAAGCTGAACCCCAAACGTTGCTCCTTGGTTAGGCCAGGAGACCAGCATCCCCGCCCCTTAGAAGCTCTGACCCAGGGCTTGAATCTGCAGAGAATACTACGGTCAGCCCTGCCTGCTGGCCATAAGTCTATAGTGTCTTTCCGGCAACTGAGGGAAGAAGTTCTGGGAGAACTATCTAACGTGGAACAAGTAGCTGGAGTGCGCTGGGGACGTTTCCCTGACCTCAACCGACTTTTGAAGGGCCATCGAAAGGGCGAACTAACTGTCTTCACAGGTGACCTCATTAAAGATGGGTTTGGCCATTCTCACTTGGGGGAGAAAGTGGTTGTCCTCAAGGGGGATGTTATTGGTGTAGGTGTTGGGGATTTCATGGGCAGAGTGTTAGGGATCAGAGTGATAAATACTTGATTGTGCCCTCAGCTTTGAGGGTGGTGATCCCCAAGTCCTTTCTCAAACATGCCTTTGTCATGTATCCCTCAGGACCGACAGGCAGTGGGAAGACAACATTCATTAGTGAATATGCACTGGATCTATGTACACAGGGAGTGAATACACTGTGGGGTAGCTTTGAGATCAGCAATGTGCGGCTGGCCAGGATCATGCTGACCCAGTTTGCCATGGGGCGGCTTGAAGAAAGGCTGGAAGAGTATGATGAGTGGGCTGACCGCTTTGAGGACTTGGCACTGTATTTTATGACTTTCCATGGGCAGCAGAATATCAGGTAAGAAACCTAGTTTTGATTAGCCTGACTTCAAGACCAGATTGCTTCGATTTGAAGGAAGGCTGAAACTGCCAGCTGAAGCTTCAGGACCTCTCAGATTGGCCATTATATCAAGGGTGCTGGTTGATGGATACACTTTGTTGGTGACTACAGACCTTTTCCCCTCTTCCTCTGTGCACCCTCCCTCTTCTAGAACTGTGGTAGACACAATGCATCATGCTGTTTACGTCTACGATATCTGCCATGTGATCATTGACAACTTGCAGTTCATGATGGGGCACGAGCAACTCTCTTCAGACAGGTAACATCCCCTTCCCCAATCTTGGACAAAATCAAGTTTGTACATGTATTTTTTGGTTCTTGAAGCTTATTTTTCCTCCCTGCAAGCTGGGCATCCTGGAAATGGGATGTATATATATACACACACACACACACACACATATACACACATACATACACACTCATGTGCATGCTCTCACACCTTTTTTTTTCTGAGACAGAAGGAGCAGAAGTAGGATAGGTTGGAGTAGAATGTTGTCTGTGACTCTTTTGAGTCTTTATTTTGTCTTGGGTAACTCAGGAGAGTGTGGATCTGACTGTCCTTATTCCTCTGCCAATGACTGATAACCTTCTACCCTCCTGGGTTAATGGCAGGATTGCAGCCCAGGACTACATTGTAGGAGCCTTCCGGAAGTTTGCCACAGACAACAGTTGCCATGTGACCCTGGTCATTCACCCCCGGAAAGAGGACAGTGACAAAGAGCTGCAGACTGCATCTATCTTTGGTTCAGCCAAGGTCTGTATCCTGGAGATATTCACCTTGTAAATGAAAGGGATGGGGTATGGACTTGGGTATGTTTTAGGATCCTCTACAGTAAGATGGGAAAATATACACGTAGTAGCAATCCCCTATCTTTATCTGAACCCCCTAAAACCCATCCCCTCATTCCTACGTCTTTTCCCTCTTTCATTCCCTCCTCCACTTATCCTCTGTTTCCCTAATACATTTTGTTCCCTTTTCCACTGACATGGCCCTCCCCCTACAACCTCCTTCCCCAGGCCAGCCAGGAGGCAGACAACGTGTTGATCCTTCAGGACAAGAAGCTGGTAACAGGTCCAGGGAAACGCTACCTACAGGTGGCTAAGAACCGTTTTGATGGGGACGTGGGTGTCTTCCCTCTGGAATTCAATAAGAGCTCACTGACGTTCTCGCCCTCAGCCAAAGGCAAGGCCCGCCTCAAGAAGGTCAAAGATGACAATGAACTAGACCCCAAAAAGCCTCCCTCTAGGAAAGGGGGAGGAGCATCTGGGAAGCAGAAGGACAAAGCAGCCCAGACCCCTCCCCCCTGACAGCCATGGTGAGAGTAGTGTGGAGGCTGTGTTCAAGGAGCTCCCACACACCCTTTTGAGGTGAGATCCATCTGTGAGCTTGGTGCCTTACCTTTGTGGGAGTTGCTGAGCAGAAATGCTGAAAGGTATGGGAGTCGAGAGTTTTCAGTCCCAAGAGAGAAGGCATGACATCTCCCAGGACAGCGTGTGATTCTGACCCAATGGAGGTGGTCAACAGCCTGAAGAAAGCTGAGTCACAGGACTTTTCTCTAGGAAAATAAACCTATTTTTGTCAGAGTTTTGGTTGTTGTTTATTGTCCTTAGTTCTCAAAGAGGACCAAAATGATATCACTATGTTGGAGTCAAGGTATTAGTGTGTCTGATTGGTTGATCAGACTAATACGAGCTCAGAAGGCTCTACCACAGTCAGGCACAGAGTCCACATGAACACCTGGAGTGGAGAAGTTTCTAAATTTGTACATCTCACTTTTCTTTTAAGCTACTGCAATTCTGCTTAGCTCATGGAACATAGCACCTTTGACAAGGGCATGCCATGCTAGGCAGTTCTTTGCCATTGTGTTCCATGTCATGAAATGATTCCAGCATTCTTCAGAGACACCTTGAGAGTATCCTTGTATCCATTCTTCTGACCTCCACGTATGCATCTGCCTTGTGTGAGTTCTCTGTAATAGTCTTTTACGCAAAAGTGCTTTTGGCATTTGAACAATGTGGTCAGTTCATCAGAGTTGAGCTCTCTGCAGTAGGGTTTGAATGCTTGGCACTTTAGCTCAAGAAAGGACCTCAGTGTCCAGTACCTTATTTTGCCTGGTTATCTTCAGCATCTTCCTGAGACAATTCAAATGGAAGTGGTTCACTTTTCTGCGTGTCACTGGTACACTTCAGGCTTCACAGACATACAACGATAGCATCAGCACATCAGCTCTGTAGAATTTCAGTGTGGTAGGCAGCCTAATACTTTTTCTCTCCCACACTTTACTTCAGTGTCACAAACACTGAGCTAGTTCTGGCAGCATGTATGTCAACCTCATCATCTATGTGTACATTCCCTGGAAAGTACATGGCTGAAGTAAGTGAACTTACCTATTGTAATCAAAATTTCTCCATTTGCTGTAACCAATAGTTCCATGTGTGGATGGTGTGCTGGCTGGTGGACAGCCTTTGTTTTGTTGGTGTTAATTGTTAGACCAAAAGTAGCACAAGCAGAAGAGAATCAATCCATACTTTGTTGCATCTCAGCTCCAGAGGCTGTATTCAGTGCACAATCAAATGTGAACAAAAACTCATGCACCAGCTTTCCCTCCATTTTAGTCTTAGCTTGTAGCTTTTTCGAGTTAAATAATTTACCATCAGTGTGATAGCTGACCTTGATGTTTTCATCCTTGTTGAAGGAGTCTGACAACACTGCTGAAAACATGCTCAAAAATGTGGGAGCAAGCACACAGCTTTATTTCTCTCCATTAGTGACTGGGAAAGCTGGAGAGCATTGTCCATTATCCAGAACTCATGCAAGCATGCTGTCATGAAATTGATGTACAATACTGATGAACTCCAGGCAACCAAATTTTGCCATAATTTTCCACAAACCTTCGTAACTGATGAAAGGCTTTGGTCAGATCAACAAGTGTTGTGTACAGATGTCTATTCTGCTCCTGTCTTCTCTCCTGGAGTTGTCAGGTCCATATTGACTCTTCCTCAGCCCTTTCTGAAGCCACACCGGCTCTTGGGTAAATGACCATCTTCCAGGTGAAGCATCAGTCTATTAAGGAGGACTCTGGCAAGAATTTTGCCAGCAATGACTACAAGAAAGACTCCCCTGTGATTGTCACAGGATAATCTATTTCCTTTACCTTTATAGAGATGGACAATAGAAACATGAATTCCTGGGGGAATTCATTTATGACAACCTCTTGTCATAACCTGGAAGATACCAGTTAGCTTTTCTATGAGTAGCGGACCCCCTGCCTTGTAAATCTCTCCTGGAATAGAATCAGCACCAGGCTCTTTGCCACACAAGAGGAGCCTAATGGCATTCAAAACCTCTTCTTCAAAAAACAAAACAAAACCTCTTCAGTTGGAAATTTGGCTAGAATGGCAAAATAGTATGGATGATGTCTTTTGATTCGAGCATAAGTTGGATTTAAGTGAAGCAGAGTTGCACATAGTCATCAGCCTCACTCTTCCAGAGTCATTGGAGTCCATTGTCAAGACAAAATCAAGACGACTGGCAATGGCCTGGAATGCAGTGGATGATCTTGGCATCTTTGATGTCTGACCAAGCTCTAAGTGCTGCATAGTGCCCGCTTTAGCCACCTTTGTGGCCATTGGAACAAATTATTCTTATCTACCCATTCCACCAGAGAAGTCATCACATACTTGGGATAGGCAGTCCCCTAACTCACAGAAGGATCTGAGACCCCTTGGTTACCCTCAATCTAATTTAGCCATCTGCTGAAAGTTTACTGAGGTGTGGGTCCTGAGTTTGCTACAGCTTCTTGGAGCCACAGGTGAGAGTTTGATGAGTCAAGTGGACACCAAAGGTGGATGAGCAGCCCTGAAAAGGGCTCAGCAGCCCTCACACCAAAGGTACTAGCCTTCCCTGAACACACCCTACCCCTGTTACACTTTTACACCTTTATTTTAAAAAGATGTTTTGGTTGTTTTTTGTTTTGTTTTTGTTTTTTTTAGCTCTCTGTGTCTTGCCACATATGACCACCAGGTGTCAGTGGTGCCCCCAATACCATGATGCCAAGGTCTCGTCCTTGTTTCTTTCCCTTCCTATAGAGAATGAGGGTGTCCACCCAAGCCCCTGACCTGGGGACCCTATATCTTTGCTTTCCAGCAGCCCTTTGAGCTAGAGCCAGGGAGATGCTATCAGGATAGGGGAACCCCATCTGACCCTGCAAACTTGACCTTTCCTACTGTCCTGCCATCACCCCAGATCCTTTCCCATCCTACCCAAAGTATGGAGAGCAGAGGTGGTACCAGGCCGGTATCCCTGATCCTTTCAAGGTGCTGGGCTTAGCCACTAGAAGCTTGTAGTACATCTGTGTGTTTATGTGTGTCTGCAGAGTTGTAATGGCTGGTGGTACTGGCTGATGAGCTTTAAGAATAGTTCAGGATGAAGCCCCAAGCCTGTTAGCCTTGCTGTGGTGGGGGTGAGGGGATGACTCTTCTTGGGCAGTCTTCAGGGATAGGTAGAGATTTCTTTTGTTGTATATGAAGGTTGGTGGGATAGAGCTCCTAGTTTTGTTTTGTTTTTTCAAGTCTCTTAGACTGGATGGAGCTGAGACTCTCATTTTAATAATTCCTAGTCTTGAGCCAGCCAGGCTGAGAGACTTAAGACACTGAGAATCTGCAGGACTGCCAGTCCTCAAAACTGCACGTTCCTGGGGTTGGGGAGGAGCCTATGAATAGCCTAGCCTATATGAACAGTATGGATTCCTCAGTGGACCTTCCCCAGGGTGCCCGTTGTGGAGCTTAGAGGAATTGGTAAGCAAAATCCTGAGCCATCTGTGCTGCCTCACATGCAGGCACCCCCACACAGTACAAACCAGAATAGCCAGGGGGAGGAAGCTAGACAACCTCCCTTCCCTCCCCTCCCCACATACACAGCCCCACCCTTTAAACAAACACACACCTTAGCAAACACCCTGAACCCATACAAGTATAGCTATCTATACATGTTCCTGGAACCTCAGACCTCAGTAGGGTCTTCTCCCATTGAAACGTGAGGGTGGGCCAAGGCACGTCCCAGTTCACATGCCTTGGTTTACTCATTTTCCTATTCAACACATGTATTAAGGGCCCTTGAAAATGGGGATAAAAACAATATACTCAAAATTAGCCTTCCAGTAGGGGATAGAGTCCGATGCCCAGGCCTGTGCTAGGTGGGGCCTCCTTAGTCTGGTGTGAGTTCACTTAGTGAGAACTAGGTAATTTATGATTGTGCTCTGAGCCCTGTGCTAGCAATCAATTATCAATAGCAAGATCAAGGTTCCTGTTTTCTAAGGTTTATAATCTAGAAAGGCAGCTTAAAGGACCAGGGTAATATTTAGCTAGGGCCCTTTTTGTAAGCCCCGGACCTTTGCAGCTGGCTTCCAGCCCTAGAACCTGTACTATCAGTCCTATAGAGGCAGTATAATAACTTCAGCCCCTCAGAACCTCTCAGCCTCTTGAACTCCCTCCATTCCCATCCCATTTCCTGCTTTAACTAGTTGGGACTTTCAGGACTGAGAGAGGAGGATCTTATTCTATGAGAGGAGAAAATTTACTAGGCCGCACCAGGACCCAGAGAAAGGGTCCTGGTGGTCTCTTTCTGGCTGGGGTAATGGGCCTAAGAGAAGGGGGTTCCAGCCCTGAATCATCAAATCGGCGAAGCTGTTTATACTGCAGTTTAACCACGCCACCCTCAAGTTGCCAACTCCAGTGAAATTCGAGTATCCTTTGGTCACTAAACCTTAAGGGGGAAGGGGCACGGGGGAAGAGTTCAATAAGCATTGGGGTTTAAAACGTGCCACACTGGGGTCTGTGGTTGGGTATACAAACAACAAAGCTGGGCAGCCCCTGCCCTGACCGAGGGACCCTAGAAAACCAGTGGGAAGCATTCGCGCAAGGGCACGTGGAGGAGGCAGGAAGCTGCCCTGCCGTGGGTAATTTTGTTTTTAGCTGCGTGGGGAGGAGGGGGCGGGGCACTGTGGGCCCTGCTCAGGGGCCCAAACTAAAGTTGGAGGCGAGGGATGTCGGCGTCCTAGGGTCTTGGCCATCCTGCCAACCCCAACCTCCGACCAGGGGTCCAGCGAGGTTAAGTCTTATGGGGTGGGAGGCGCGGGGCCCACCTGGGGCCCCTATTCGGTCGCCTCAGGCCCTCGGGTGCGGCCTCGCCGGCCCCGCCCCGCCCCTCCCCTCCCCTCCCCTCCCCTCCCCTCCCCTCCCGCCTGGGCAGGCGATGGCAGCGGGCGGAGCAGCCAGGAGGCTTCAGCCGGACGGGAGACAGATCCAGAACGTCGGGGCAGCCTTCGGTGAGTGCGGGGGCCCGGGGAGGACTCCCTCGGAGGTAGAGCTAACTGGGCTGGGGTAGGGGAACGCCGACCCCTGCGGGCTGCAAGAGCACATTGGGGGTCCGGCTCCAGACATGAGAAGTCGCCTAAAGTCCCACCTTCCCCAGCCGCGCCCCCGGGGAGACCCAAGCATGCACAAAGAAAGCCGCTGGCGCGGCCCCCCCCCCCCCGCCGCGTGCGCTCGCCAGGACCCGAGGCGCGCGGGGTGAGGGAGGGGTGGAGGGGGCGGGGCAGGTCCGGGGGCGGAGCCTCCGCGAGTTTGTCCCAGTTCTTGCTTCCCGGCCGGCGAGGCGGTAAACTAGGGTCACGTGCCCCCCGCGCGGACACGTGGGCGCCAGGCCCGGTATGGGGGCGGGGTGTCCGTGAACCCGAAGTACTGTCTTAGCCTCAGGGGGCCTTGTGGGGGCAACCAGCCTCCCCCTCACCCTCGGGGCCCCTGGCAACCGAAAGGGAGCAAGGCCGGAGCGAGGAGCCGTCGGAGGATGGGGCAGTAATGGGAGGAAAGCCTGGTTGGTGCCTGAAGAAGCGAAGTTCTAGGAGTGGGAGGGACTGGGGGGGCGTGGCTGGGCCCGACGGGGGCGGTGCCCTCAGGCCTCTCGGGGCGGGGCTGTTTTTCCCCTTTCGAGGGAAAAAAGGAAAACAGGACTCTTTCCAGGGAGCTAAAAATAGCCCTGAGGTTGAGAAGGCTCGGGCTAGGAGGGGGCTGGGGCGGGGAGAACGGCGGTCTGACAGCCCTCCTCTCCCAGACCGGGGCGGATGCCTGGGGCTCGTCACGTGGTCCGGGGATTGCTGTGCCCGGGGGTTGGCCGCGGCCGTCGTTGCACGGTCTCCTATCGCCCCTAGCTTCGGCAGGTTTGGGAGTAGGAGGACCATTCCCTTAGAGGTCCCAAGCTCACAGCATGGGGCCGGACGGGAACACAGGAAGAGGGGCCCTTACAAACCCGGTCTGGAGTCGGCGCCTCCCCTTCCATGTTCCCGTCCGGCCCTGGGCCATTCCGGGAACTGTCCGCTGGGCGGCGTAGCAGAGGCCAACCTGGGGTTTTCGGGGAGCTCAGGATTCTTCTTTCCCGCCCCCCCCTTTCAGGGGAGAATGGGAAGGAGTGGGGGACACAGATGCTCGGGGCTGGCCTGAATGAGCTGGGAAGGGGAGGAGCCGTCAAGCCTTTGTGCTGGAACTCGGGCCAGCTGCCACCTTTTGGACTCGCGGGGGAGGCATGCTGACCCTCCCAGACTGCCCCCCACCTCTGCATGCTCTCGTGGGGATGTGGGAAGGCGTGACTGCCCAGGTCTAGACCCGGAGTTCTTTGGGGCCTGCGTTTGACGTGTGTGAATCCTGCGCGAGCAGCAGCGCGCATCCGTGCTTACATGTGCACGTCTGTATGCTTACCAGAACACGGGTGACGTGGGTTGCTTGAGTGTCGGAGCCCAGTCGCTCGGGGGCGGGGCTACCTCCCCCTTCTCTGGGCTCTGCCCCTCCCATGCTTGGGTCAGGGAGGGGGAGGGGACGGAGACGGGGGGAGGGGAGGCGGAGCCCTGGTCGGGTTCTCGGAGTGTCCGAGGATCTGGGCTGGAGCGAGGGTTCGGAGGGAGCTGCCGGGGTCTGAGGATGGAGCTGCGCGGTGGAGGTGAGGGGGCAGGCACGGGGAGGGATGCCATGGTGCCCCCAGAGTTAGGTGGCAGCTTAGGTCCTTCGTTAATGGACGTGGGGGAGGATATTACACTCTGTACTAGTTTGGGGGCCCAGAGAGGGAGCCTCTTACTTTGTGTCCTGGGATTGGATTCACCTCTTCTTGGCGTGGAGAAGGACCCAACACCCCTCACCCCCCAGCCCTGCAGGCTTTGGACGCAGTTTCCTTAACTCCAGACCCTCAGGGTTGGGGTGGGGGTTGTCGGCATCGGCAGCTGGAATCCTGCTTAGCCTGGCCCTCCCACTGAAGTCCAGACTGGGGTGGGGGCGTGCGGGGGAGGGGAGTCCTCCTGCTGGGCGAGTGTGTGTGTGTGTGTGTGTGTGTGTGTGTGTGAGAGCCGACGGGCCCCCTTTCCCACAGAGCAGACACAGACGCTGCTCAAAATGGAGCCTCAGATAGCCCCTCCCTCTTCAGCTTGGAAGGAGAGAGCGGGAGCCCGGCCCCCCCCCCCAGGCTCTGGCCTAGTCTGGACTTCCAGACGCTGTGGCTGCCCTGTGCTGTCTCTCCACCCCCATTCCCCCTTCCACTTCTGCCATCTTTCTGCTTCTCTTTCTCCCTGTCCCTCCCTCCCACCCTGTGCTCCTCACTTTCCTTGTGCTCACAAGGAGACCGATGGGGGAAAATTAGCCCACCTAGTGACCCCTTAACACAACCCTCCACCCACCATTGTGTGTGTCGGCTGATTCACTCCTCTATGCCTGGTAACTTTAAAGATGGCATATTAATTGGGGGGAGGTCTCATCTACTTAAACCCCACCCCCACCCCCCATTAGTTGTCTGGGGCTTGGCCTGAGTTGTGGTGTATCAGGCTTTCTGGACTCGAGCTGCAGCTGGAGGGAACGTGATGCTCTGTTAGTTCCTGAAGCTCAAAGATACTTCACCAGCCCAATTTTCTGTTTTGATTTGGGGAGGGAGGGTCCTTCCTTACTTCGGTAAGGAAGAAAGAAGTGGAGTTGAAGGGACTTCTGTTCAGCTTGAGATCATACTAGATCTCTGTCTGAGGGCCTTTCCCATTCTTGAGATCCTTTGATGCTTAAAATGGGGAGAGGACAGGTTTAAAAGAAAAAAGAATGTATTTGTATGTGGCCCTCCGCAAGCAGGGAATAGGAAAAAACATCATACTTCATGTGTGAATTCATGAACTTACATACATATTCATACTTACAATTATATAGCTTCAGTGTGTGTTTGATGAACAGAGACACACATACACACACACATACACACTCTCTCTCTCTAATACACTCTCATGTTGATCTCTGGATTGTGTTCTGATGGCTTGAACAGATGTTTAAAACCCTTGGAGGCCTCAGGAAGGGCTGGGGTTCCGGGTGGGCACCTCCCTTTCCCAACCCAAGAAGGAGATGAAACTCTGTGAGGGTCATGGGTCGCCAGATCCTCCTTTCTTTAGCTCCAGCTAGATCCTGGGAACATTTGCAGGGGTGGGGTGAGAGCCTGCATTTTCAAGAAGAAAGGGAAACTTTCTCCGGATCATAACTAACTTTTCTTCCTCACTGGGGTTGTCTATATTCTTTGGGACCAATCTGATGTTGTGAGATTTAGAGGGTGATATTGGGGGTGGTGCAGGGTTGTCATGGAAACAAAGCATCAAACTCTGTGTCCCTGTTGGGCTAGGAAGGGGGTCATTAACCCCTCAAGTTTCCTTTGGGGGCAAAGGGTACTGGGGTGGTTAAGTGTTTTAGGGTTCAGACTAGCTCAGCTTTATGAAAATTGGGGGTTGGTGGGCATTGGTCTGTAGGGGGGGGCAAATGAACCACTGATTAATTTGGGGAACAGAGCATTGACTGATATGGTTTGAGGGGGAATGGCACAGATAGCTCTCAGTTCCCTAATTACCATCTGAAAACAGATAGTATGTATGTGGTGTCTTTCTTGTAGTGGTTAGTGAGGTTTCACCTCCTAAGGGCTGAGCCAGAAGAGAAAGCTCCTTTGGGAGCCAGAGACCTGCCTACCTAGGAGGGGACAAGTCCCCAGACTTTAGTGTAGGGGCTCAGCAAGACCTGAAACCTCAGACCAGGGTTTCTGCCCTACCTGGAAGCCCCAGACTCATCTGACCAGTTGGGCTGGCTTGGCCACTTCCTTCCCCCATCTGGCCTTTGCTCTTCTAGCCTCTCTGTACCCTCACTCTCCTTCTTTGCTCCCATCCTTCCCCCAAGCGAAGCCTATTTCCCATCAGGTTTAAATATTCTCAGATCCCTGGCCCCTATTGAGATAGAAGGGAGTTCTAGAGTCATGAGAAATCATGACCTCTCCCTTCAGCCTCAACAAGAGGCAAGGAACAAGACATATTCATGTATTTGTATGTATGTGTGTGTTGGGAGGTAAGTTTTCAGGGTTTGGGAGGGGGGCCTAATGGGGCATGAGATAGGGTTAGGACTAGGAGACTTAGAATTGGGGCTGCTTTGTGGTAGCTGGGGTGTTTAGGGTCATGAGCATAGAGAAGAGTTGGGGGTGGGGCATTGGCAGAACTTTAGGTGGGCACTGTTCCAGCAGTGGGTTATGGTGGGAGTAGAGGTCTGGCAGAAAGGCTTAGGAATGGGGAGCTCTGACTGTGGCCTCCTTCCTTGCACAGCAGGTTGCCTTCAAGGCCTGTGGCCAGGCCACAGTCCCTCCAGCCATGGCAATCGTCCAGACTCTGCCTGTGCCCCTGGAAGCCACCCCTGAGAGCACGGTCTCACACCCACCCCACCTGCCCACCATGGGCAGTGTGAGTAGCCTTATTTCAGGCCGACCCTGCCCTGGAGGAGGGCCTGCACCCTGCCACCATGCCCCCTCGGGACCTCCCTTCTTCCGGCAGCAGGATGGGCTGCTACTTCAAGGGGGTGGTTGTAGGGCCCAAGAGCCACTGTGCCCCCCAGTGCCCACCAGAAAGCCTGTGGGAAATGCTGGCTTTGCATATATCAATGAGGACTTCCGGGGAGATTCACCCGCCAGCCCCTGTAGTGACACTGAGGATGCCCGAGAGCAGCAAGCCCGAAGTGCCCATCTCAGGGGTCCACCTCCAAAGCTCATCCCTGTGTCTGGAAAGTTGGAGAAGGTGAGAATGGGAGCCTTCCTTCCAAGTACAAATAACTTTTCACAATGCTCAGGAAGAGGAGGGGGTGAGTTGGGATAGAGCCTCTTAGCACCTGTGATAACTCTAGCTGTGCTTCCTCGACCAAGGGATTGCCAGGATTTAGATGGAGGGAGCATATAGGGCTTGGGAGAGGGTACCTCATAGTAGCTAGGTGGTAGTACTTTGTTACTCTGTTTCAGAACATGGAGAAGAGTCTGATCCGGCCCACAGCCTTCAAACCTGTGCTGCCCAAGCCTCGGGGGCCACCATCCTTGCCAGCATTCCTGGGGCCACGGGCTGGTGTTGGGGGGATGTCAGGGAGCCAGGGTAGTCTGACCCAGCTGTTTGGGGGCCCTGCTTCCTCATCTTCCTCCTCTTCCTCGTCCTCTGCTGACAAGCCTCTGACCCTAAGCAGCTGGGCCAATGGTTGCCCCTCAGGGACGCTGTCTGACTCTGGCCGAAATTCATTGTCTAGCTTGCCCACTTATAGCACAGGTGGAGCTGAACCTGTTGGAGGCTCTCCAGTTGGGCATCTCCCTACTGATGGCCCTGGGAGAGGGGTGCTGCCTGGCACTGGGGGCAGCCACCGTGGGGTCTCCATGGGTCCCTCGCACTCAGATAGTGGGCGTTCATCATCCAGCAAGAGCACAGGGTCCCGGGGAGGCCTCCTCAGTGGTGGGGGCACGCGGGTATCTCCAGACAGTGGTTCTTGTGGGGATCGATCACCTCTACCTGGCCCACCCCCACCTCCCCCCCCACCCCTGCCAGATGAGTCTCTGCTGCGATGTGCTCTGCAGGAGAAGCTTCGGGAGCGGGAGGCAGAACTGCAGCAACTTCGGGACAGCCTGGATGAAAATGAGGCTGCCATCTGCCAGGTGATTGACTCCTCACTCTCCCTCTGCCACCGTCCCAGGCCCGAAGGGAGGGACTGAAATGAGGAGATAGAGACTGAGTGGAAAAAGACCTGGTCTAATCCTTCCTGCCCCAATATGCAGTGTGTGTCAGGGCAACTTCTGAACTTCATTCAGATTCCCCCCTCATCCCTCCTTGAGTGATGAGAAATGGGAAGATACTGTGGAAGTTACTTTTGGTGATAAGAGAAGGGGTTGGGTGAAGGACAGACAACTTGAATAATCTGAAACAAGAGATAATTCAGAAGGAGTGATAGAACCTTCCCATGGCTGCATCACTTTACAATTCATAAAACTCTTTTATACCAGCACTTTGAGGGAGGCAGGGCAGGTATCACTACCCCCCATTTTACAGATAAGGAAACCGAGGCCCAGAGCAATGAAGTAACTTGCCTGGGATCATACAACAAGTTGATGTCAGGGCCAGAACTAGACCCTCCTTAGTCCAGGGTTTCCTTCACTACCCTGCAATCCCTACATCTTTGGTGCTGGACTGTACCCTAGGGTGGCAGCAGCAGCTGATTAATCACTACCTGGCTGGCTCCAGCTTAGTATTAGAGCAAGGCTGACCACCTTGAACATAGGCTGGCCAGCTGATGAGGGGACCCAGACATGTTCAGCTGTGAATTATGTACAGTGTGTTACTTAAGAGTTATCTGTAATACCATGTTGTCCATGGAGAGGTTGCGGTTTCTGGGTTTAAGCGTGTGCTGAGGTATATACAAGGAGTGTGCATAGAGGAGGTGTGGAATAGTAGAAAATATTGGTCTCTGGAGATCTGTGTTCAAATACCAGACCCACACTTAGTGGCTTTGTAATGATGGGCACATCACAGTCTCTTTGAGCCTGTTTTCTCTTTTGTAAAATGGAGATAATAGTTGACCAAATCACTGGGTTGTTGTAAAGAAAACCTCCAAGCACTTCATAGATTCTAGAAGGTGGAGAGCCAACGGTATATTTGCCTAAGTGTGGGTGGGTGGGAGTCAAACTCAATATTTGTGAGTGTTTGGAATGGGACTGTGCCTGTGTTTATGGCCCTGTCCCTCTAGGTCTATGAAGAAAAGCAGAGGCGCTGGCAGCGAGAACGGGAGGAGCTCCAGGAGGGCTGTGTAGCCCAGGTGATGCAGGCAACCCAGAGAGCTCAGCGGGCGCAACAGCTGCTGCAGCTGCAGGTGTTCCAGCTGCAGCAGGAAAAACGCCAGCTGCAGGATGACTTTGCACAGCTGCTGCAGGAGCGAGAACAGCTGGAACGGCGATGTGCAGCCTTTGAGCGGGAGCAGAGAGAGCTCGGTCCTCGACTCGAGGAGACCAAGTGGGAGGTGGGTTTGGGGACCCTGGGAAGACATGGGGAAGAGGATAGACTGAGAATCTGGGGGGGAACTTTGGGAACCAGGCTAACATCTGGTCTTGAGGCCAAAGTTAGGGTTTCAACCTCATGATTTTAAATGACATAATTACCCAAGGTTTACCAGCTAGTAAATGGGGGAACTGGGGCTCAAAGTAAGGTAGTTTGCCTCCACATCTTTCACCTGCATCCTCTTGCCTCTGCTGACCCTCTTCCCCTGTTGGGTGTGAGGTCATCACTCACCACTGGTCCCCCCTCACCCTTAAGGTCTGCCAGAAATCAGGGGAGATCTCCCTGTTGAAGCAGCAGCTAAAGGAGTCCCAGGCGGAGCTGGTTCAGAAGGGCAGTGAGCTGGCAGCGCTTCGGGTGGCACTTCGGGAGGCCCGGGCCTCTCTAAGGGCCAGCGAGGGGCGGGCTCGAGGGCTGCAAGAGGCAGCCCGGGCACGGGAGCTAGAGCTTGAGGTCTGCACTCATGAGTTACAGCGCAGAAAGAATGAGGCTGAATGGCTTCGGGAGAAGGCCGGACAGCTGGACATGGCTGTGGCAGGACTTCGGGGGGCTCCAGAGCCCATCTCTATGCCCACCCCTGACCCCTTCCTGCTGTCAGAGAGTGATGAGGCCAAAGCTCAGAGGGCAGCAGCAGCTGGGGCTGGGGGGAGCCTTCGGGCCCAGGTAGAGCGGCTGAGGGCTGAGCTGCAGCAGGAGCGGCGTCGAGCTGAGGAGCAGCAGGGAAGCTTTGAGAATGAGCGCCTGGCCTGGCAGGCAGAGAAGGAGCAAGTCATTCGTTACCAGAAGCAGCTGCAGCACAGCTACATCCAAATGTACCGGCGCAATCGGCAGCTGGAGCAGGAGCTGAGGCAGCTGAGCCTGGAGCTGGAGGCCCGAGAACTGGCAGACTACAGCTTGCCTGAAACCCCACCCTGTGTCCACCTGGAGGAGATCACAGCCACAGAGATCTGAAGACTCATAGGTTAGAGGAGCCACAAGGAACCAGCTTAGAGGCCTCTGAGTTGAGGGACTCTCACCTCTCCACCTTTCTTTGTCATGGTCTGGCCTCTAGGATGAGTGCAGGGATAAGTTTTCGGGCCAGTTCTGTACCCAAAGGGAAGCATTTCAGTAGAGCTAATGGCCCCATGTCATTTTTGGTAGGGTGATATCAGGCATGCTCATGCCCTGTCTGGGGGGAGATGTGAAGACCACTCCCCCACTCACCTTGTTACCACCACTCCAAATCTGCCTCCATAACACTTACCAAATCTAACCCTAGCATTGAGAGCCTAAGGATTCCACACCAGAGAGAAAGCTCCCTCTTTCCCCTCTCCCCTCAATATGTGCCTCCCTTCCGTGTCATAGGCTAACGGGGTGAGGGACCTGGGATGAAGATGCCTTGGTTCTCCATCAGGTTCCTCTCTCTAGAGCCCCATTTCAGAGCCCTCTGTGTGACCAGGAGCTGCCTTCAGACCAAAGGAAGAACTCAAAGACTTCTCATTTATTTGTGTTTGTTACTATTCCAGTCTCTAACATCACCCCACCTCCTTCCTGAGTTTATGGCATCTTTTAAATTGTATATTTTTCACACGTGTAAATTTCTTGTACAAACCCAAAGAAAAAATTAAAAAAAAATTGTTTCTAAGAAAATGAGTACACTGAAAGTGTGTATAGAGAAGGGGAAAGTCTGTACTCTGCCCACATACACCCTGCTGCAGGCTCCTCCTTAGTTTCCACTCTGGTTTTGGGAGGTCCTGCTACAAGTCCAGTAGAAAAAGACCTGGAAGTCCCTATGGAGCATGACTTGAATGGAATTTACAGGGCCTGAAGTACCGGGGCAGTTCTCCCCTTGCATTCTTAACCCTTAACTAAGTAAAGACCAGAAGCAGGGGGATGGATGAGATGGTCCTTGTTCCTTTCTCATCTGAAGAGGTCTGGAGGTTTCTATCTGGGAGAGACCAGACAGGGCAGGCAAGAGGAACCCTCACCCCTAACTCCCATGCTCAGCCTTATCTGACCCCTGCCCTAGGCCAAGTCTTAAGGCTTGCTGGGACTAGAGAGGAATGGGGGATAGGGAGTAGGGAAGGCTGGTTAGTAGCACCATTGTTCACTTTGTATCCTGATCACAGAACTGTTCTCTTTCTGAGAGAGATGAGGCTCTGGGATAAGATGGATTAAGGAAAGTGGTTGTGGTCACCTGGGAACTTTTGGTAATGCTGGGGAACAACCCTGACCTTTTTGTTAACTTACTTGGGGAAAGGATCAGGGAATCTGAACCAGAAGGTCATTGAAGGAGTGTGACCTGGGGCTAAGAGATTGTGGAAGGTGCCGAAGGACAAGGGTGAGGAATCCTGACCACTATCTCCATGGGCTCTCGAGCCTTGTTTCGATAGGCCCTGCGGATGGTGTCCACGGCTCGCTGGTGAGTCACCTGTTGGAGGCTCTCCCCATCCACAGACACAAGCTCAAAGCCAGCCTGATGGAGAGGTCACAGCCTTAGCTCCTTCCTTGGTACCTTCTCTGGGGCTCTGGCCTCTCACCCTACTTCTCAATCTGAGACTGGAGGAGGAGTTAAGGGGAAGTATCCAAGGGAAGTGTGTGTGTGGGGTGGGGGGGAACAGCACGGACAATGAGATTTTTGTTCTGTGTTTTTTTTTTCTTAGTGTGTAGGGTGGTGGTAAGACATAGACAATGGTCCCTTTGTGCCGGAACTGGGGTGTGTGTGTGTGTGTGTTTGTGTGTCTGTGTGTCTGTGTGTGTGGGGGGTGTTTTTGCGCCACCCAAGACAATTCTCCCTCCTCCCACCCCCACCCCCACCCCCACCCCCACCCCATTCTGCTTAGTCATAGCATCGTTGGACTTAGAAGTGAAAGGGATCTTAAGTCATCTTGTCCAACCTCATCATTTTTACATATGAGGAAACAGACGCATAGAGGTGATGTGACTTGCAAATAGGTGAGCTGGGTCCTTTCACATCTAGCCTGCTTTCCACTCTGTCACTTCTGATTACATTTATCTCCCATGGCCCCAAGGACAGTGTGCTCCCTCTAGTCCCTGCCTCCCACTCCCCACAATGGATGGGCCATATTTGGGACTGAGGTTGAAACGCCTCCCCACGGGTGTATTTTGTCCATACCTGCAGAGCCCCACTGAGGAAGGCTGCCCCTCCAGGAAAGATCTTCTCAATCTTCACCATGGGCTGCACCTTGGACTCGATCCCCCCAGAAATGCTGATTCCTGGGAGTGGGGCACGTGGTCAGAGACTCCCACCCCCAAACCCGCCTACGGGGCACAGTCGCTAGCAGGTTCTGAGAGCTGGGGAGTTCGCCCCCACCATGGCCCTGGCTTCCAGCTTGGCCCCTCAGCGACCCCTCCCACTTCCCAGCTCACCCAGGGATTGTCTGAGCTTGGAGACAGTGATGGTCCTGAGCTCCCCTTCTCCATCGCGGTCTGGAGGCGCCTCTCGCTCCTGGGTGCCCACCTGCGCGCTAGGTCCGGGTTGGGGTGTGGGGAGGGGAAGCCGGGAGCGGCGGGACTTGGTGTAGCGTCCGTTCCCGGGAGCCGGGGACGGGGAGCGCATGCTGCCTGGGGACTTGCAGCGGCTGCGGCTGCGGCTGCGACCCCGACTCCGGCTGCGTCGGGCATCCTCGCGCGCTCGACCAGGGGGCTCGCTTAGCAGCCAGTTGGGCCGCGGGGGTCGGGGGGCTACCGGGGGCGGCCGGGGCGGCGGCGGCGGGGGAGACGCGCTGCGGCGGCCGGGGCAAGAGAAGGCATCCACGGGAACGTCCCGCAACGGAGGGAAGGGCTTGTTCGAGCGGCGAGGGGCCGCAGCCGGAGCCGGAGGACTCTGGGTGTCAGCCGGCGGCGAGACCTGCAGCCCTGCCAACCGCTCGCCCAGCGCACCAGCCGCCGCCTCGTCTTCAACTTCCTCCTCAGCGAAGCCATTCACAGGGAGCAGGTAGAAACCTCCCCGGCTGTCTGTGGAGGCGGTGTGTGTGTGTGTGTCATTCCCACCTTCCCAAGCCTTCACTACTGGCCCCCTTTGTGGTGGCAAAGGTCACTTAAGGAAAAGTCACTAAAGACCAGGCCCTGTCCACTCATCTCCACCCCCCACCCCCACGTTTCCTAGGACCTCGGTACACCAGCTCCCTCTCCTTAGGATCATAGGTTAAGAGCAGGAGGAGACTTCAGACTACTCTAGTCAAATGTCTTTTTACAGATGAGGAAACTGAGGCACAAAGCATTTAGAGTGACTGCCCAAGGTCACAAAGATAGTACCTAGATAAGTAGCAGAATCCCAGAATTCCAGTCATTTAATTCCAAACCCAGGGTCCTTTCTCCTGAACCACAATGACCAAGGGCCTACTAAAAGTAGGCACCAATATTTGTGTAGCCACTATAGAAACCAGGCTTATGTTTTTGAAATCAGATTTGGCTAGTTCGAGCCCTGCACCTGAGCACCTGGGAGCTGACAG